CCGAGGCAGGCTGAGGCTGAGGCTGAGGCAAGCCGAGGCAGGCTGAGGCTGAGGCTGAAACTGAGGCAGGCTGAGGCATCTGTAGGAATCCATAGGAATCCTTAGGAATCCCTAGGAATCCTTAGGAATCCGTAGGCATCCTTAGGAATCCGTAGGTATAGTTAGGCATCTTCAGGAATCCTTAGGAATCCTTAGGATTCCCTAGGAACCATTAGGAATCCCCAGGAATCCATAGGAATCAGGATTCCTAAGGATTCCTAAGGATTCCTATGGATTCCTAAGGTGCCTTAGGATTTCCTAGGAATTTAAAGGATTCCATTGGATCCTAAGGCCGTTGCCACTGCGACTGTCATTGCGAATGCGACTGCGACTGCGAGGGATTCTCACCTGAATCTAAGGGGGAATGCTTCCAGATATGCTTATACACATCGCTGTTAGGTTGCTTTGTCGGGATATTTTTTGTTACATATATATATGTATGTAAAGAAAACACACCATGAAACAAGTAATTGAAATAACAAGAACGCAACTTCCACAACTAGAACCACTCCAAAACTAACTTCCCCGTAACTTACACTCTGTAAACACCGCTTCACAACAAGACTAATTTCCGTATCTTCCACAATTTGCACCGTTCAAGTTCTGTAATATTTGGCAGACCAAGTTAAGTCCTGGAAGTTAAGATCTGGAAGATCAAGTGAACATAATCTACCAGAACTTCCCCACAACTACCAGAACTAGTTATGAGCATCTCAGATACGCCAGGGCATGGCGGGCCCGGGGCCAAAGGCATGGGGGGCCCAGCGCGCTTCACTTTCCTTGTGATTTTACAGGGTTTCAGGCCACCTCTATCCACCAGAACCCCGGGGGACGTTGCCGGGGGGGCCCGCCCCGGGACCTCGGCGGGGCATGCGAGGCCCGGGGCATTACTTTCCTTATGTTTTTGTAAGAAGTTTTCGGCCGGCCCAGAGCCACCGGAGCCCCAAGAGGTTGCAGGGGGCTCCAGGGGCTGCTCCCGCCAGGTGCCCCAGGTCTCCCACAGGCCTCCGAGACGCCTCCACGAGAGCTCCCCAAAGCTCACACACTTGGTTGTCCCATATTTTTTTTTCCACGTTTCTCTCCATGCAGCCCGTTCTGCATCCCCACGCTGCTGCGCGGCAGCCCCAGAGGACGCCCAGACTGTCCTGGTTCGGCCCCAGACGCTCCCAACCTTGTCCCCAGATGGCTCCGCATGGGAGGAGACGTCCAAGGACGCTCCAAGAGATGTCCAAGAGGGCTCCACGACGGCCCAAAACGCTCCAAGAGAGCCAGCGGCCGCGCAAGAGCGTTCCAAAATAGCCCAGCATGACTTCAAGACAGCCCCAGCGGGCATCAAGACGGCCGAGAGGCCCTCAAAGGGAGTCCCACGAAGCTCTCAGGAGGCGAAACAATTATTTCTCTTGTTATTGAGGTTTTCCATGTTCTGGTTTCCTGCTTCCGACGGGCCAAGACAGGCCATGAGGCCCCAGAAATCGGCCCGAGACGGCCCAAGCGGCTCCCGAAGAGCACCCCAGATGGCCCAAGAGAGTTCCAAGACGGCCTAAGGGCGCTCCAAGACGGCCCGAAGAAGGCCCAGAGGGTCCCACATGACTTCAAGAGAGATCCAAGAGGGCCCCAAGAGCCCTCCAAGAGGGACCCATCACGGCCCCAAGACAGCCAAAGCCTTCAGAGACGCCCCAAATGAGTTCCAGCACGGCACGAGAGAGCGAGAAGTGGTCCACAAATTCTGCAGAGGGCACCCAAGAAGGCCCAGAGTCGCTAGACGCATAGGTTTTCGTCTGGCTCTTGTGTCGTCTCGCGTACCGAGTTCCAAACACCAAGGATCCTAAGTGCGGACGGTGGTGTGCGCTCAAGACGGCCCACAGAGATTCCCGAGACGCCGAAAGGACTGTTGCTCCAGCGGCTATTGATGCTTCTGCCTCCTCACCTCCCTCCCCGGCCTCGTCCTGCACCTCCCCGGAAGGACAAGCACGTCGCTTCGAGATGCGTCCAGCCGCGGCGACGACGAGAACCCACGAAGACAAAACAACTTCGGACCTCGATCCTCGCCCGGAGGCCCGGCACCTCGCTGCCATCTCGCCCCTTTCTTCGATGCCCCCTCGCCGGGGCCTCCGAGAGGCCTCCGGTCGGCCCAATCGACTTCCAAGACAGCCGAACATACCCCCGAGACCACCTAAGAGTCGGAGGTGGATAGACCTCCTACCCTGACACGTCGATTAAGGAATTGGCCGTTTTCGGTTCGCGAGAGGGCGTCGCGGCCGTCATTTTTGCGGGTCCAGGTCCGTCCGTTTCGGTCCCAGGCCGTTTTCACTAAGGGGAGGTTTACTAAAGGGAGGTTTGTCCACCGCCGAAAGAGGAACCAACATGAACCGAAGATGGCCCACACGGGCACCAAGAGCGCTCAGGATGGCCGCAGCACGGCGCAAGGGTCCCCAGGACACCCCAGGAGAGTACCCGGCGCACCCCAAAGAGGCCCGAAGGATTTTTGCGTTTTCGCTCTCCCTGGCTGCCGACGGCCCAAGACGGTTCCAAGACTGCACGAGATGGGCCCAAGACGGCTTCGGCACGGCCCCAGGAGGGCCCGAGGACAGCCCAAGAGGCAAAACAAAAGTCCCCAAGAGACTTCCAAGATGACTGTGCAAGCCCCCTAACAGGGTTCTAAAACTGCCCCCAAGACACACAAGACCGCACCTCCAGCATGCGTCCGTCCAAGGGGCTCGGAGGGCTGACTCTCTTACAGGGCTTCTGAGACTTCTGTGCATGGTTCGTGCCACTTTGCACCAATCTCAGCGGCTGTCTGACAGCATTTTGTTGCCACTCCGCGCTGTCACATGCTCCCGTTGCTCGCCGAATCGAGCTGGCATCCTTGCCAGCCGTCCTGCTCCGACCTGCAACGGCTGACAAAAGATGGCCACTTCCCCGGAAGGTCGTTCGCTAGCTTCAAGGGGCTCAGACCAGGGGGGCCTGCTTCCTCTGCCCTCCCTCCCCCTCCCCCTCCCCATCCTCCTCCTCATCCTTTCCGGTCGATCCCCGTTTTGTCCGTTTCCCCGTGCTCCTCGCTTGTCGGACCGAGGGGCGCGAGTCGGCCGTGGGCGAGAGAGAGGCCCAGGCCCAAGTGTCCCGTCCAAGTTTTTACCAGGAGTCGTAAGAAGGAACGACAGCAGGTTCTGAAACTTTTGTGTTGGGCTCGACCAATTCGCACTTCTGTCAGTAGCTCTCTGTTGCACAGGGCTTCTGGTACCTCTGTGCGCAGCTCTCGCCAACCTGCACCACTTTCAGTGGCTATCCGTTGTCCAGGGCTTCTGAGACTTCAGTTCAAGGCTCGCGCCAAAGTGCCCCCTAGAGGTCCCCTAGAGGCCCCACGAGGCCGCAAATATGCCCGAAAAGACGCCCCAAGAGCACCCCGAACGGCCCCCAAGAGACCTCCAAAACTTCCTTCAAGAGGCCCCGGGGAAGCCTCCCACGAATTCCAAACGAATTTCCAAGAGGCCTCTCATCCACAACACAGGCACGGTGGCGGGATGGGCCGAAAGCCACTAAATGGTCCGCCGCCCCCTGCTTGCAGGGGTGCCTGGCGTGTTAGATTTTATCGGTTTTGGTTTTGGTTCTTTTTCTAAAAGAACTCCCCAGTGGGCTTCGGCCCGTCCCGCCGGCCACCCGGAAAGGATGCCCAGGAGCTCAATTCCCCAATTTCCTGCCCCAGACGGTTCCAAGATGGCCTCCAAGATGCCTCTAAGACGGCCAGGATGGTCTCTAAGACGGCTAAGATGGCCTTATGATGCCTCCAAGACGGTCCAAGACGGCCTCCAAAACGGCCCAAGAGAGTCCAAGACGGCCCAAGACGGCCCAAGAGGCCCCCCAGAGGCCTCCCAGACGGCCCAAGAGGCCTCCAAGAGGTCCTCCAGGAGAGTCCGAAGAGGCCAAAATCATTGATTTTCCCTTGGTTTTTGAAGGATTTTGGCATTTGCGCCTTTTCGGCTCTCCGACGGCTCAAGACGGCCCAAGAAGCCCCCAAGATCGCCCAAGAGGCCCCCAAGAGAGCCCCATGATGGCCCAAGTGGCCTCCAAGATGGCCCCTAGAGGGCCCCAAGAGGGCCCAAGAGGCCTCCAACACGCCCAAGATGGCCTCCCAGACGCCCAAGATGGCCTCCAAGACGGCCCTGGAGCATTCCAAGCGGGCCCCAAGTCGGCCCATAGAGGCCCCCCAAACGGCTTCCGACGGCTTCAGACGTGCCAGGAACCCACCAAGATGGCCGAAGTTGGCTCGAAGCTGGCCCGAGACGGCCCAAAAAGCCCCAAAGATCGCCCAAAGCTTGCCCAAGAGGCCTCCAAGACGGCCAAGATGACCTTCAAGATGCCCACGTGTTCCCCGAAGGCTTTCCAAACCGATTCGGGGAACACGTGGTCCGATAGCTTGGCAGGTCTGGCCTCAACGTTCGGCCACATAGGCGCTTCCAAAAAGGCAGGGGGCGGCGGTGATTCGCCGTAGGCGTCTTCGATCCGCCGCCCCCTGTCGATTCATCGCAGGGGTGCCTGGCGTGCTGGATCCTCTCGGTCTTGGTTTTGGTTCTTTTTCCAAAAGAACTCCCCTTGGGGCTTCGGCCCGTCCCACCGGCCACCCGGAACGCCCGCAATGTTAATTGTTCGTTCAAGATGGCCCAAGACGGTCTCCAAGATGGCCACGTTGGCCCAAGATGGCCTCCAAGATGGTCCAAGATGGCCTCCAAATCCGCCCAAGATGGTCCAAGACGGCCTCCCATACAGCCCAAGAGAGTTCAAGACGGCCGACGACGGTCCCAGAGGCCCCCCAGAGGCCTCCAAGACGGCCCAAGAGGCCTCCAAGAGTTCTTCCGTAGCCAGTTTTGCTCAGGGCTACAGTTTGGCTTAAGCTTATTTGCTCGAGGCAGGCTTCATTTTCTATATCCCGCTTTACCTCTCCGCGCTTCTCTCTTCGCGCAATCATGACATTCATGGCGAGAGCTCTTTCGCTCGCGGGCCTCTTGACTACCGTGAAATGCCAGGAATACCAAGCAGTTACGCCGCTTGTCGCGGGCACAGTCGGAGACAATCCTACATGCGCGCAAATGGCTACAGCCGGCGAGTGGCAAGATCTGACGGAGGCCCAGTGCAGGCAGTATGTCCAGCAGACTGCGGGGGCCACGTTTGTAGGAACAGGTGTTGGAGTCAGTCAAGAAATCCCATGCGGGTGCACCACCGCCGATTTCGACAACAACCAGTACTACTATACTCCATGTACAACGGGAGTAAGTACGTCAAGCGAGGAGTACCACCACATCTGCGTCAAGACCGTCACTTGCCAGTCCATGACCTGCCTCGAGAGGTTCCTGTATTGGTGCCAGCAAAGCACTGTGGGCTTCGGCTCCAACAACAACGTGGCGGCCGCGAACTCTCCGCGGGACATCCTCGTTGCCGAGTGCCCCGACTGCAATGGCGCCGCCAGCACGAACACTTGCCCAACGAAGCTTCGTTTGTACGATGCCGCTCCGGAGGAGGAGCCGACCTCGCTGCTCGACAAGACGTCCGTTGCGGTGTCAGTGCCGATCGGATTGGTGTCCGCTCTCGCCGCTGTGGGTGCGGTCGTCGGCGTCTCCCGCCGCCGCGCGTCCAACCAGCCAGTGCTCGTGGAGGACGAGCAAGATCTGCTGCGCGAGTGAACGTGTACGCCTGTGGCAGCAGCTCAGGCCTATCAGGACCAGAGGACACAGAACTCGCCGAGTCACGCATGCTTTTTTGAGATGCCTCCCCGCCTGACGTTCGCAATCGCTCTGCGCCAGCTCAGCGATCAAAGTTGCGTACCTTTCTCTCTCACGCTCTCTCACACGAAAAAACCTACATCCTGCTTACCTCCCTTCTCCCGACGTCCCCGCAGCCTAGGATCTGTATAGGGTAGCTGCTCGGCGTGGACTCCAGGATCCGAGGGAAGCGGTGCTCTGGCGCCGCTCGGATCGCAGTAAGGAGACCCCTTCTGCGAAGAGGCCGAACTCATTGACTTTCCCTAGGTTTTTAAAGGATTGTCGCATTCGCTTCTTCTCGGCTTTCCGATGACCCAAGACGGCCCACGAGGCCCCCAAGATCGCCCCCACAGCGCCCAATGGCCACCAGATGGCCTCAGGACTGCCCAAGAGGCCCCCCAGACGGCCCCAAGAGGGCACAAAGACGACCCAAGAGGCCTCCAAGACGCCCAAAATGGCCTCCAAGACAGCCCTGGAGCACCCCAAGAGGGCCCCAAGTCGGCCCAGAGAGGCCCCCAAGACGACTTCCGACGGCGTCAGACGGGCCAGGAGCCCACCAAGATGGCCGAAGTTGGCTCGCAGCTGGCCCAAGGCGGCCCAAGTGGCCTCCAAGAGGACCTCCAGGACGGCACGAACAAATGCCAAACACACAGATGTTCCATAGGTTTTCTAAGGAGTTTCACATTTGCTTCGTTTCGGCCTTCCGACGGCCCGATACGGCCCAAGAGCACCCAAAGGTCGCCCAAGGATCGCCCACGAGGCCTCCAAGATGGCCCCAGAACGGCCCAAGAGGCCCCCAAGACGGCCCCAAGAGGCCCCCAAGACGGCCCAGGAGGCTTGCAAGACGCCCAAGATGGTCTCCAAGACGGCCCTGGAGCATTCCAAGAGGGCCCCAAGTCGGCTCAGAGAGGCTCCCAAAACATCTTCCGACGGCGTCGGACGGGCCAGAGGCCCACCAAGGCGGCCGAAGATGTCACTAAGTTGGCCCACGACGGCCCAAGAGGCCTCCAAGAAGGCCTCCAGGAAGGCACGAAAAAGGCCAAAATCATTGACGTCCCATGAGTTGTTGAAGGATTGTGGCATGTGTTTTTTTGTCTTTCTTCCGACGGCCCAAGACGGCCCCCAAAGATCGCCCAAGAGGCCCAAGACGGTCCCAAGATGCCCCCAAGACGGCCGAAGGGGCCTCCAAGACGCTCAAGATGGCCTCCAAGACGGCCCAAGAGCCCTCCAAGACGTCCCCCAAGAAGGCCCGAACGGGTCAAAATGGCCTCCAGGCGGCCAAGATGACCTCCAAGAGGCCCACGTGTTCCCCGAAGGCTTTCTAAACCGATTCGGGGAACACATGGTCCGATAGCTTGGCAGGTCTGGCCTGAACTTTCGGCCACGTAGGCGCGTCCACAAAGGCAGGGGGCGGCGGTGATACGCCGTAGGCGTCTCCGATCCAAGCCGCCCAAGACGGCCTCCAGAGGGCCCAAGAGGCTCCCCGAGATACCCAAGAGGTTTCCAAGAGATCCCTCAACCGAGCTCGACGAGGCCACAACACACATGTATGTTCCATGGGTGTTTGAACAACTTTGGCGGTTCCGCATGTGGCGCTTCCCGACGTGGCAACTCGCCCCGAGAGGCTCCGAGGATCGCCCCCAAGACAGCCCAATGGACTTCAAAAACGCCCCAAGGCGGCCCAATAGGCTTCATAAAGCGCCGAAGAGACGACCAAGGACGCTCCAAGAGACGTCCAAGAGGGCTCCACGACGGCCCAAAGCGTTCCAAGAGAGCCAGCGGCCGCGCAAGAGCGTTCCAAAATAGCCCAGCATGACTTCAAGACAGCCCCAGCGGGCATCAAGACGGCCGAGAGGCCCTCAAAGGGAGTCCCACGAAGCTCTCAGGAGGCGAAACAATTATTTCTCTTGTTCTCTTGCACAGCTGTGCTCTAGAGCTCGGACATCTTTATGCAGCCCCCCTGGGCCACGGAACCCTCCCCTCCGTGCTCCCCTGGGCCCCCCCCCCGTGGGAGCCCTTGGGAGCCCTCCTCCGTCCAGGGTTCCCAGGGCAGCCCCCCTGGGCCACGGAACCCTTTATTTTCGTCGTCGTCCTTCGTTCCTGGGACACCCCCCGTGGAAACTCTTGGGAGCACCCCTCCGTCCAGGCTTCCCAGGGCAGCCCCCCTGGGCCACGGAACCCTGTATTTTCGTCGTGGTCGTTCGTGGTTCGTGGAAACCAGGCCAGGCCCAGAAATCGTCGTCGTCGTCCTCCTCCTCCTCCTCCTCCTCCGCTTTCTTCCTGGCTCCTCGTAAACCCCTCCTGGAAGAAGGAGGCGGGGGCCTCCTGTCCTTCGCAACTCCTTTGTGCAAGAGCCAGGGCACGCGTGCCACTTGTTTTCGTGTCGTGTCGTGTCGTGTCGTTCGTCCCCCTGCCCCCCCTCCTCCAGGCTTCCCAGGGCAGCCCCCCCCTGGGCCTCGGACACCTTTATTTTCGTGTCGTGTCGTGTCGTCCCCCTGCCCCCCCCCTGCCCCCCCCCCCTCCAGGCAGCAAGCCCCATCCTGGGCCTCGGACCTCCAGGCTTCCCAGGGCAGCCCCCCCTGGGCCGGACACCTTTATTTTCGTGTCGTGTCGTGTCGTTCGTCCCCCTGCCCCCCCCCTGCCCCCCCCCCCTCCAGGCTTCCCAGGGCAGCCCCCCCCTGGGCCTCGGACACCTTTATTTTCGTGTCGTGTCGTGTCGTTCGTCCCCCTGCCTTTCCTCCGGCCCCCCCCCCTCCAGGCTTCCCAGGGCAGCCCCCCTGGGCCTCGGACACCTTTATCTTCGTGTCGTGTCGTGTCGTTCGTCCCCCTCGCCCCCCCCCCCCCTGTCCACGCTTCCCAGGGTAGCCCCCCTGGGCCACGGAACCCTTTATTTTCGTCGTTCGTCGTGTCGTTCGTCCCCCCCCCCCCCCTGTCCACGCTTCCCAGGGTAGCCCCCCTGGGCCACTTTTATTTTCGTGTCGTGTCGTGTCGTGTCGTTCGTCCCCCTGCCCCCCCCCCTCTGCCCCCCCCCGCCCAGGCTTCCCAGGGCAGCCCCCCTGAGCCTCGGACACCTTTGTGCAAGAGCCAGGGCACGCGTGCCACTTGTTATTGAGGTTTTCCATGTTCTGGTTTCCTGCTTCCGACGGGCCAAGACAGGCCATGAGGCCCCAGAAATCGGCCCGAGACAGCCCAAGCGGCTCCCGAAGAGCACCCCAGATGGCCCAAGAGAGTTCCAAGACGGCCGAAGGGCGCTCCAAGACGGCCCGAAGAAGGCCCAGAGGGTCCCACATGACTTCAAGAGAGATCCAAGAGGGCCCCAAGAGCCCTCCAAGAGGGACCCATCACGGCCCCAAGACAGCCAAAGCCTTCAAAGACGCCCCAAATGAGTTCCAGCACGGCACGAGAGAGCGAGAAGTGGTCCACAAATCCTGCAGAGGGCACCCAAGAAGGCCCAGAGTCGCTAGACGCATAGGTTTTCGTCTGGCTCTTGTGTCGTCTCGCGTACCGAGTTCCAAACACCAAGGATCCTGAGTGCGGACGGTGGTGTGCGCTCAAGACGGCCCACAGAGATTCCCGAGACGCCGAAAGGACTGTTGCTCCAGCGGCTATTGATGCTTCTGCCTCCTCACCTCCCTCCCCGGCCTCGTCCTGCACCTCCCCGGAAGGACAAACACGTCGCTTCGAGATGCGTCCAGCCGCGGCGACGACGAGAACCCACGAAGACAAAACAGCCTCGGACTTCGATCCTCGCCCAGAGGCCCGGCACCTCGCTGCCATCTCGCCCCTTTCTTCGATGCCCCCTCGCCGGGGCCTCCGAGAGGCCTCCGGTCGGCCCAATCGACTTCCAAGACAGCCGAACATACCCCCGAGACCACCTAAGAGTCGGAGGTGGATAGACCTCCTACCCTGACACGTCGATTAAGGAATTGGCCGTTTTCGGTTCGCGAGAGGGCGTCGCGGCCGTCATTTTTGCGGGTCCAGGTCCGTCCGTTTCGGTCCCAGGCCGTTTTCACTAAGGGGAGGTTTACTAAAGGGAGGTTTGTCCACCGCCGAAAGAGGAACCAACATGAACCGAAGATGGCCCACACGGGCACCAAGAGCGCTCAGGATGGCCGCAGCACGGCGCAAGGGTCCCCAGGACACCCCAGGAGAGTACCCGGCGCACCCCAAAGAGGCCCGAAGGATTTTTGCGTTTTCGCTCTCCCTGGCTGCCGACGGCCCAAGACGGTTCCAAGACTGCACGAGATGGGCCCAAGACGGCTTCGGCACGGCCCCAGGAGGGCCCGAGGACAGCCCAAGAGGCAAAAAAAAAGTCCCCAAGAGACTTCCAAGATGACTGTGCAAGCCCCCTAACAGGGTTCTAAAACTGCCCCCAAGACACACAAGACCGCACCTCCAGCATGCGTCCGTCCAGAAGGCGCGAAGGATGCCGATCGAAAATTGGAGGTGGCTCGAAAGCTTTTCAGTGATGATTCCAAAGTCATCGAATTTGAGGCAGAGGCCCTGCCTTTGCGACCAGGAGGCATTTTTGCACGCGCTCCGCCAGCTGGCGTGACAGCGCATGCATTCAATGTCAAGGCTGCGTGCCCTCATTCTTCCGTATTTCCGGATTCAATGTCAAGGCTGCATTCAATGTCAAGGCTCATTCCCTCAAGGCTGCATTCCCTGCATGTGTTCCGCCACCCGGCGTGACAGCGCGTGCAGTATGTAGTATCAAGGCAGTCTGCATTGCGTTCGCTGGCATTCTTCATTCCTTCTGCACGTGCTCCGCCAGCTGTCGTGGCAGCGCGTGCGCTGTATTTCAAGGCAGTTTTGTCCCGTCCTCCACCATTCCTCGCCCCTCCCGCACGTGCTCGACCAGACAGGCCAAGAAAATATGGCGACATCTCAAGACCAGCAAACTACGGCCTCGACATTTAGAT